GGATGGTATATGTTAGAGACCTGGTTAAGGTCGGTATCTTGGTATATAGGATGATGCTATGCTAGTGACCGGTTAGGTTGGTATCCTATTTAGAGTATGTTATGTTATGTAATCTGCTAGATCGGTTTGAGTGGATGTGAATTGTTATATGATTGTATGTTTATGTGCACATGGTTGTTTGACTGGGGTTGGGTTGAGGCGTGTCCTGCTTTGTGCTGTAGGCCAACATACCCAGGGCGGACCAATTATTCCGAAGGCCCAACGAGCGGTCCGGATAGGCTGTGGGCCCCATGAGGGCGGACCAGACGTGCCGAGGCTCGAAGAGTGGACCAGGCCGACTAAAGGCCTGATGCGGGCGGACCAGTCATACTGTAGACTCGGAGAGTGGACCAGGTGGGTTGAAGGCCCAGTGCGGGCGGACCAACCACACTGCAGACTCGAGGGATATGGCTAGACTCGGAGGGTGGACCAGGTGGACTGAAGGCCCGGTGCGGCGGACCAATCACACAGTAGACCCGAAGTGCATGGTTGTTCTGTTCGGTTATGATATGTTATCCGTAGTATATGTGGTTGGTATTTTGGGGGTACCTCACTAAGCTTTCGGGCTTACAGTTTTGGTTTAATGTTTTTCAGGTACTTCAGGAGACCGTGTCAAGGCGAAGGCTTGATCATACCACTCCTCATGTTATATTCTACGATATGGTTCTAGGAAGACTCTGATAATAATTGTATTGAAAACCTTTTTGTAATAATTTAACGAAACTGAGTTGTTTTTGAAAAGTTTAAATTGGCTTGAATTTTTAGAGTGTTACATCTAGACGGTATCAGAGCCAACTCAAAACCCTAAATAAATATGTTCTTCCTCTAGGATGACAGGATCCGATCCAAAAGAAAAAAGAAGAGAAGGCTACAGCCCTCCGATTGATCATAACTCTCCATTCTACCTCCACCCGTCTGATGTCCCTAAACTGATTCATGTTAATGAAGTACTCACAGATTCCAACTATGTAGATTGGTCACAGGAGTTGGAAAACTTCCTCTTCGCCAAGAATAAATTAGAATTTGTCGATGGGACCATTAAGAAGCCAGAAAAGGGAGCCAAGGATTACATGTTATGGATGAGGTGTGACGCCATGGTGAAAGGATGGCTTACCGCTGCCATGGAAAAGAATATATGGGAAAGCGTCAAATACGCCAACACTGCGTCCCAGATGTGGGCTGATCTACATGAACGATTTGGCAAGGAAAGCCCTCCTAGAGCTTATAAACTCAAACAAAAAATTGCTTCGACAAGACAAGATGGAACCTTCGTTTCCATTTATTATACGAGCCTTTGTACTCTTTGGGATGAAGTCTCGTCGATTCTACCTTTCCCCAAGTGCTCTTGTGATGGGTGCTCATGCAATGTTGGAAAAGAAATAAACGAGTTTCAGGAGAAAGAACGTTTATACCAATTCCTCATGGGACTCGATGCGGAATTTGTAGTGATCAAAACATAGATCCTTGCAAAAATGCTCACGCCATCCTTGGCCACTGTCTATCACTTGGTTGCGGAAGATGAAAGACAGAACTATTTCCAACGACAAGAGAGCACCACCCGAACCTGCTGCTTTCAAGGCATTCCAAGGAAGGATTGCCAACTTCAACCCGCCAAAGGAATGGAATTTTCAGAAAAATTGGAAAGAGAAGAAAGAAAAGAAGGAAGATGAGCAATGCACATTCTGCGGTAGAAACGGGCTAAAACGAGATGGATGTTTCAAACTTATCGGTTACCTGGAGTGGTGGACAGGAAAGAAAGGAGAGAAAAACAAGCCAAGGGCTGATTGCACGAAGATGGAAGGTAGTCCTATACTGGAATTAACCAACGAACAATATCAGTTGTTCATGAAGCACTTCTCCAACATCAACGAGTCCATAGGACCAAAGGCAAACATGGTAGGTAAACGATGTAATGATGACTGGGTTGTTGATTCCGGATGCACTGAACACATAACATATCTTTCTGATATACTTGAGAATAAAAAAATTACTCCTTTTAAAAGACCTGTAGTTATACCTAATGGTGAGTCCATTCCTGTTAGAGGAAAAAGAGATTTTACACTCACAGAGGAAGTTAAACTCAATGGGGTCTTGTGTGTACCAGATTTTAAATGCAACCTTCTTTTAGTGAGTCGAATAACTAACAACATGCAGTGTGCTGCAACTTTCTTTCCCAATTTCTTTGTCATGCAGGGAATTCATATGAAGAACTTGATTGGAATGGGTAGACGTGAATGGGGGGGGGGGGTGTACCATATGAGCATGGTCAAGGAAAGAAAAGCAATGCTGACGTTTACCGACACTTGGCACAAAAGGTTGGGTCATGCTTCGAAGGGAAAACTCTCAAAGATTGATTTTATTAAAGGTAGTCCAGTTGTTTTTAGTAATATTATATGTGATTCTTGTGCAAAGGCAAAATTAGCCAGGACACCTTTTCCTATTAGCATCAATAAAAACAACTTCAATTTTTGATCTTATTCATTGTGACATTTGGGGTGGGTATCGTATACCCTCATATACCAAAGCAAACTAATTTCTCACAATAACTGATGATATTAGTAGAGTTGTGTGGGTGTTTCTTATTAAACATAAAAGTGATGCAAGTAGGTGTCTCATGGATTTTCACAAGATGATAAATGTCCAATTTAAAAAATGCATTAAGAAGATTAGATGTGATAATGGTGGAGAGTTCACCTCCAACTTCATGCATCAATTTTATAGCCAAGAAGGAATTCTCCTTGAGACAACTTGCCCCCACACTCCATAACAAAACGAAATTGTGGAAAGAAAACATCGGCACCTCCTTGAAACAACTCGTTCAATCCGTTTTGAGGATAACATACCTAAAAGGTTTTGGGGTGAGTGTATTCTTACCACTGCATACATAATTAACCGTCTTCCATCGAAGGTTATCAAGAACAAAACACCTTATGAGCTTGTCTGGAATCGAAACCCACAGTATGACCACATGAAGGTTTTCGGTTGTTTAGTGTATTACAAGAACATGAACACAAAGGGTAACAAGCTTGAAGAAAAGGGCAAACTTGGAATATCAGTTGTTCTTGAATATTCATATTTCTTGAATGTTTATCCTCTGTAATTTTAGTCATTATCCTCTCCTTTGTGTTCGTTAGTTTTGTTTCCTCTTGGATCTATTTAAGCCTCTCGGCTGTTTAATGATAAAATAGATAAAAACCATCAATTTCTAGAATACCCGCTCGAACAAGTTCGCACAAGTTTTTGCCCCGACACCTATCAAGATCAAAATAAGTCTACAAAAAACCATATTTTATTAGTAAAAGAATTATTTAATAAGTGTAAAATTCATTACATATAAAATATATTTCATATGCAATTCTAGCATGGGATATAAACTATATTTGTACTTGATATGAACACGGGGCCAAGAATGATAATGCAACGGTACCTCTGATCCCAACAGATTTAAGATCAATCTGACAAACAATTGACCGTTGTCCCCCACGAATCAATATGTCCTCCCGGAGGTATCAAGTGTCACGGCCACAAGATTCCTACAGTTATCTTAAAACTCATTGTACAAATTTAAGTTTCTCCCTTTGCCATGTATATTCACATTCTTCGCTTTTGTTACATTTACACCTCGAATTGGAAATTTAGAAATTTAAGACTTTAAAAATATATCCAATACTTAAGAATTCCATGTAACTTACAAGATTGGCAACCCGATGGTAAACCATGTGCGACCCCGTGTGGAGGTCTATCCTTACGGTCTCCTCCATATCCCCTCGCGACTTCCGCTATCTGTTTAATAGATATCATAAACGCTCAAAATATATAATAAAGCTACTTATAAATAAACAACATTTCAAAATTTAACAAATATTATAAGAAATCGGGATATATAATAACTGCAACATACCGTCAATCGGAATCATCACTAGAACAATATATATGTACAACATCATCATCACTATCATAGTTTTCATTATTTATTTCTTCATCTGAAGAGTGTGTATCACCACCGTCATCATCATCATTAAGGAAATCATCATCGTTTAGTAGGAACAACATTCCTCCTAGAAACCATACTTGATCCACCAACTTCACCTAAAGGCATCTGCATAGGCAAGGTGTCTAAGTCAACAACCAAGATAAAACCAAGTGATTGAGTGTCATTCACGACATCTATCTTATTAACAACATCGAAACTTAGATGATCTCAAAGTTTTCGATGATGAACCTCTTCAACAACTCTTTAGTTATTGTTTTGAGTAAGATCTTGGAGATAAGACACTTGTTTAGCTTGTTTGGCTAAGATGTATTGTTGATCATCATACCATGTTTTATCGAAACACCATTCATGACTGGTATCAATAACAACCATATTATTTATAGTCTTTAAACATCCATTACATAATGACACATTGAACCATTTACCATGAAAGAGTACAACTGAAATACAATATAAATAATGCAACTCCATGATCTTCTCTAATTGACCATATAATGGTGTATCGTCTTCTCCTAATGTACCAACACCACTATTTTGAGTAGTGCATCGGAGATCACAACTACCCACAACCAATTGAACACCATTTACTATGCATGCAGTGTAAGAATATGCATTCAACGAACCATGTACCAACTCCTTTAATTCGTAAGTACAGTCCAAAGGCATATCCTTTTGGAAACTATAAATCTGTAAGGAAATATAAGATTGTACGCTTAAGTAAATAACTAGTTTTACATTATAAATATATAACATATTTATCTTTTCTTTGAACCATGATAGGAAATTTCATTTTGAAATCACTTTCAGGCAATTTTGATTTGAATTCATTGGATGTAAGACAAAACAATTATAATATTTAAAATATATTATACACTATCGAAAATGTAGTTAATAGATCATAAAGAAACGATCTGTAGCCTCTCATCGTATCATCATCGCAGTTGGTTAGTACAAACCAATGCAATGATTATTTGACCTCTTTACAAAGTTCGACAATTTTCTTAGTTGCCACTGTTAAACATTGTGATGAGAACGCATAAAATTTCCTTTCTGAAAGGCCGAGATCATCATTTTTATCAGCACAGTTGAATTTAGTTTGCATTCCCTCAAGATACATAGAACAGAATGTCAAAGCCTCGTCTGCAACATAACCCTCTGCTATTGAACTTTCTGGCCTGACTTTGTTTCTACATAATTTTTAAGTTTTTCCATATATGTTTCAAAAGGATACATACATCTTGTGTGTACATGCCCTCCAAGAATGGCTTATTCAAGTAAATGAAGAACAAGATGAATCATTGTGTCGAAAAATGTTGGAGGATATTTCAACTCAAGATTGTGTAAGATCTTCACCACTTCTGTTTTGGCATTTCTCATTTCGTTAACATCCAATAACCATGCACATTTTTTTTTAAGAATGTACACAAGTCGATGATTGTTCTTGAAACATTTGGTGGGAGACCTGCTGGAACCCCTATAGGTAGCAATCGATGTGATGGTCGGAACTCGATGGTTGGACTTGATGGTGGTCCTCCGATGGTCGCTGGTGGTCACCGGAAAACACAAAATCGGAAATGAAAAAAAAAATATAAAAACCACTCCATCCTTACTTGATGTGATGAAGGAGAGAAGCTGGAAGGAGTCGTTGGTGATCGACGGTGGTGAAGGAACGACAGCGGTGAAGGATCGAGGGTGGTGAAAGTTGTTGCAACCAACCCTAAAAAAACCCCAAATTTGGAGTTAAAACGTTGAGTAATCAGTAACAAATAAGAAAACATGGACCAAGAATGTACCTCCTGCTCGTTACCGATGAAGAGGAGTGCCAATTTCGTTTTCATTGTTGCAGATCAAGAGAGAAAGAGTGCATTGTCCCTGCAAATGAACAAGAATGAACGATGAACTGATGTCTTCTGATAGGGTAAAACCCTATGTCGACGATAAGTCGTCGATATAGGGTTTACATAATAACATCATTCCTTCTTTTTGATGAGACATATATCAAAATCATATGTATGTGGTGGATTAAACTTTCATCAATATATATTACGTATATGTCAAATTATAATTTAAGAGACCAATGTTTAATAAATTGATAATTTTACGTTTCCTAATGTATTAGTTTAATTTTATATAAACAGATGTTGTAGGAATAAAACCAACAAAACTTCTCAAGAATACATACATCGATACATACCCAAATTTAACCAAATGCATTTTCTAAATAAATTGTACGCTTTCTAAATAAATTGTACCCTAACAAACTTTTCCCACACTATTTCTCAAAAACATATCTAATGACGTTGCTTCTAGTTTTTTTTTTAACAAAAATGCTTTCAATACGCACATAGCTTTCTAAAATCTGATGATACACTCAAACTCAATACTCACAAAGCTTTCTAAAATACGCTGCACATCACAATTTACCGTGCACAATTTCTTCAACCCAAAACCACACTAAAACTCAACTTAGAATCAAATCAAATCTAAGGATCAACATGGACCAGGTGTGTAGCAATAACAAACCGTAAGGATCTTTCGAGTTAAAAAAATAAGTTAGAACCAAACGTTCAAATTACCCCAAACCATAGGACCATTCGTGTAATTTACTCTTCTTTTTATACAATCACAAGTTAAAATGTGAAATAAAAGCTTTCACTGCCTTTAATCATCCCCATTGATTTCTGTCAAACAAGCAAACCAAAAAACCCATCTCAATCCTCCTTCTTTCCTATCAAGAACCAAAACCAAACACTCCAATGATTTCTATCAAAACAAACTAAAATCAATGGCGATGCCTCTCCAACGTAAGATCGAGATGATTTTGCTAATCATTTAGATTCTATATGGTTAATTGGGAACATATTTTTCTCAAATTCTATGCATCTGTTTAGATCGATGTGTTTCTCTCGTCTGGAAAAATACATTTTTTTTGTTAGCATCTGATTTACCCTCTCTTTGGGGATTAAAATAAAGATTATTCAAGGAGATACAACTGATGCATATAGCTAATTACAGGATGGCTTACCAACGCATTGCATTTCATTGGATTGCTTTAGGGTCAAATGGTCCTGTCTTAACTGCTACCGCTGCGTGCAGTGTCCGGACCTCACACCTCGCAGCCAGAAGAGACGAGAAAGACTTTGCTGCTTCTTCACGCTCTCCATCTCTTCGGATCCCATCGACCCTCGCTAATACCCTTTCCCATCCCGTTATTCCCTTCGGCCCGTCGAACCCAGAAGACCTCATCGGTTTGCGAAGCCGACCAACGAACGATCTCTGCTTCTCCTTCCATCCTCTTCGGCCTCATTGACCACCGACGATGCTCCCTCTGAGGTAATTGCCACCACCATACCAAGAACCAACACCGTCACTTTCTTATTACTTCAAATCAGATGAACACCGGATTAGCATGTCTGATTTTCCCGCAGCCGATGCCCATCGGGGGCTGCTTCGTTGGTATCCCTTCTTCTTTCTTGTTCCCGATCGATTGAACGGAAGAAGGCGACTCTTTCGATTCTAGGTGCCCTTTTGATCGACTGAAGAGTGACAACCGGACTTGACGTAAAAACGTATTTGTGATTTTGACGAAGTCAAAGGTCAAAAAAAAAAAAAAAAAATAATTAAAAAAAGTATCAAAAAACTTTATCAAATCAGTCCCAATCCATAAACAATGATTGCATTCATTCAAAATCAACCCCTCATTTGTTTTTTTTAAACCAAAACCAGTCCTAAACAATCTAATTAAATTTACCAAAAGCCCGTATACTTTAGCTAAGTAATCCCCGATAGTTCAAATGTGCTATACTTTAGCTAAGTTAATCCCCGATAGTTCAAATGTGCTACAAAACGGTTCCAAAGGTGCTTCAATGTTCAAGAAACGTATCATTTGTGGTTTCTCAGACGAGCATCTCAAAGAAATTGAATTTGGACAAATGGAACTCAAGCTTCAAGGGTGAGTGCTTACGACCCATTTTTAATATTTTAATTGTTTTGGAGGGAATACACCTGCCTAAATATTTTTTTTATACAAATCAATTTTCTTTTATGCGAAAATACAATAAATCTAGTTTACAAAAGTATTTGTTGTGAATAACCTAGTATAAATTTCCGTATGCGTATTAGGTTGATTTTATGGTGAAATAACAATTTCATACAACAAATACTACAAGATACAAAATTATATGATTTTCATGTGACATTTCATATCATAACAAGCATGTAATGAAACAATGTAGTATCTCAAGGATTCAACTTATTACTATGCATATTCATTTATATGCGTACACAACATTTATGCATATACATATACATAAGTTTAACCAAAGGGATTCTAGCCCAACAGTATCAGGTGGTACCTTTCGTCATTAAGGTCGGGGGTTCAAGTCTCGTCGTGGACATAGGTGGATTAGGTGTTAGTTTAGAAGTTGATTATATGTATTTATACTTTCAGGTTAAAAAACATATGTTTATTAATTTCAAACATTTATTTTTATAAAAGCAAGCACATTACACTTTTACACACATGTGAAACATACTTGACTTTTATAAACCTTATATAACCATATTCATTATGCCTAGAACTTACCCACAAGTAACTTAGGGCTAAGAGTTATTCATAAACATTTTAGTTAAGACCTTTTTAGTGAGATGTTATGTTATTCATTAGCTGAGTTTAAACACTTAGCATACCCATACTAATGCAACCGTTAATCTTTAGAGGGAGATACATATGTATAGGTTTATACGGGGTTCATATCCCCACATGCGGTTGCTAGCTACAACCCTCAGACGATCTATCGAAACGGGTGATAAGTGTCTACAATTTTTATTAATATGTCCACTGAAGCATTGAAGGGGGGGGGGGGTACTCTCAAGTCATATATTTTGGTTATAAGGCTCACTATAAACATTAACTAGAATATATATATCTCTCACTACAAGCTTGGGCTTGGTTGCTTTCAAAACTATTTTAAGTATGAAATTACTTATGTAACGTTACAATTTGATTTTCAAAGATATTCAAAGATTCCTTACAAGCACAGATTTTAAATGTGGATTTATTTATTCAAAGGTACAATTTGGCTTTTAAAGACTCATTGCAAACACTGTTCAACTATTGTTATTAATACAAAGATAATAGTTTTCGGACTTATTAAAAGTATTACTACTTTTAGCAGAAAACCTGTAACTCTCACTAACCTTGTGTTGACCCTCAAAACTACATGTATTATCAGGAAATTACTAAAAAGACATTCAAGATGGATTGGATTACAGGTGACCTACTTTACTTGTTGTATTATATGTCTATCTGTTAAGGCAATTCATGTATTATTATGTGTAAAAATCTTGTATTCAAACATCAAGATGGAACATTAATGCTATATTGTTCATTGTTGTACTTGTGATATATATTCAGTTTACATGTGATCAATGAACTTAGTCGCACAGTCCGGCGTGCTCCGCCGCCTCGGTTGGGGGTGTGACACAATCTCTTCCAAGTGGGTGTAGGTCCTTAATTAAGACTATTAATGATCTATTCCAATTCAATTGTTTCTAAAATGTCAAAACACCACAATACTTTGTGGAGTTACTTTGGATCCATGGTGTTTCCTTTAATTTAAGATATTGACCATTCTCAAATGAATCAATGAATCACATCACATTCAATGATTGTATGTTTACTTATAAGGGTTTCTTGTACTCTTGCTAAATAACAGAAAGCCTTGGAATGAGCAATTTCCACGTCTAAAAGACTATATCCTAATTTTAGCACATGTTTGAGCATCCACCTTGGATTTAATGCATCAAATTCACCATATATTCATAAAAGTACATGTATTACTTGCTTATTTATTTCATTGCTCATAACTCCATCAGGAATGAATTTTTAAGCTTAGAACCAAGTAAAACACCATAAAATGGGTTAGAAACAATCCAGAGCTATAATTATTCAATAAAATTGGATTTAGGCCTTCTCATCTAAGCGTAAATTCCAATCTAGAGAGTTTTATGGAGAAATTAAACTTGTAATAAATAGAAGACTTCCAAGTTAACTATGATTGACAAAGAACTCTTTGAATCTAAGCTCAATGGTTGAAACCCTTCAAAATCTAAAGTTCTCAAAACATTGTTTAGACCAAATAGGTAGGACAATGGTAGCTTTGGGTCCTATTTCAAGTCTCTCTTATCTCGTATTGGACATATAACTTCTATACCATGCAAAATGATCACCATTTTTTAAATCTTGCAACTAGACCTTAGTTGTTTATACATTGATTCTTTCCACGTCATTTCTATGACTTATTAGTTCAAAATCTTACTTAAGCAACTCAGCTCGTGGTTAAACTCAACTTTCTATAATTAGTCAAATTTAACCCATATTTACCAATTGTAATAAATTTAACTTTTATCTCCTCATATTTATATATTTACTAATAATATTTTTATTTTTTATTTAATTAATTAAAACGAATTTTTCTTGCCTAAAAATTATGATGTTACAAAATCAATATACCAAATTAACCACTCTCGAATATCATAAGAAGTCGACCACTACCATAGTCGACCAAAAAAGCCTTGATATTCGGTGTGTTAACCAGAAAAGCCCTAGATACACATATTGATGTGAGATGTCATAAATCCTCCTTCCTTAATCTTCACGTTTACATGTTAGTCAACATCTTGATCAATCCAAAAATTGTCTTCTCGTATATAATGTTATAAGCTATGTTCTTTGCCAACAAAAATCTAACAATACAAAGAGCCAACCGATCTAACAGATCCCAATCTTCCTACTTCCTTGCTTCTGGTTTACTTTCAATCGAAGGTTAATGTAACTTCTTCATGTAGAGATAATCTTTTGTCTACATCCCCTAAAATCCTGTATCATGACCTTTTAATTTCTTGATCTTAATATTCTCGTCTTCAGCCACAACTCTAATACGAATTGTTATAGGATAACGAGGATATTAAGACTAAACTTGACAAATTATCATGATAATAGAGTATAAGAACTAACAATACCGTAAGGATTTAATATCTATAATGCCTTGTCCCAAATCATTTCCCATTTGGGTGTGGGTGATGTAATTTAGATGATCCTGGTGTTCAATTTGTATTTTGGAGCCAATAGGTATTTTGATGAAGTGTCAGCTTGGGAATTTATGAAAATTGGATTTTTGTTTGGGAAATTTTAAGGATAGTATGTGTTGATAAAAGCGTAGAGCTTTTAGTTAACTTATCGTGGATATAAGGATCGTCAAAATCATACGTATAATGAAAAAGTTAGGGCATTCGGAAGAATTTAGGGTTTAAGGATAACCTTAGTACATGGGGCGTATATAGGGAGTCTACAGAGCGTACTAGTGCGCGAGGTCCAATACACAGGGCGTACACTGGTATACATTGAGCGTATTAACTAGGTTGGTCACTGACTTTGTTTCTACATAATTTTTAAGTTTTTCCGTAAATGTTTCAAAAGGATACATACATCTCATGTGTACATGCCCTCCAAGAATGGCTTATTCTAGTAAATGAAGAACAAGATGAATCATTGTGTCGAAAAATGTTGGAGGATATTTCAACTCAAGATTGTGTAAGATCTTCACCACTTCTGTTTTGGCATTTCTCATTTCGTTAACATCCAATAACCCCGCACAATTTTTTTTAAGAATGTACACAAGTCGATGATTGTTCTTGAAACATTTCGTGGGGGACCTACTGGAACCCCTATAGGTAGCAATCGATGTGATGGCCAGAACTCGGTGGTTGGACTTGATGGTGGTCCGCCGGTGGTCACTGGTGGTCACCGGAAAACACAAAATCGGAAATGAAAAAAAAAGGATAAAAACCACTGCATCCTTACTGTTATGTGATGAAGGAGAGAAGCTGGAAGGAGTCGTTGGTGATCGACGGTGGCGAAGGAACGACGGCGGTGAAAGGTCGAGGGTGGTGAAAGGCTGTTGCAACCAACCATAAAAAACCCCAAATTTGGAGTTAAAAAGTTGAGTAATCAGTAACAAATTGGAAAACAAGGACCAAGAATCTACCTCCTGCTTGTTACCGATGAAGAGGAGTGCCAATTTCGATTTTCATTGTTGTAGATCAAGAGAGAAAGAGTGCATTGTCCCTGCAAATGAGCAAGAATGAACGATGAACTGATGTCTTCTGTTAGGGTAAAACCCTATGTCGACGATAAGTCGTCGATATAGGGTTTACATAATGACATCATTCCTTCTTTTTGATGAAATAAAAAAAAATAAAAAACTGCCGACGACTTGAGATAGATGTTTCACTCGAATCGCCACGTAG